GGCAAAACAAACAACAAAAGAAAACCAGTTGGGTGCAGTGGCACCCAGCAGCACAGGAGGGAGGCTCAGGCAGGAGGATTGCAAGTTCAAAGCCAGCCTCAGCAAAAGCGAGGGTGCTAAGCAACTCAGTGAGACCCTGTCTCTAAATAAAATACAACATATAGGCTGGGGATATAGCTCAGTTGGTAGAGTGCTTGCCTTGCACGCACAAGGCCCTGGGTTTGATCCCAAGCACCAGAAAATGAAAGTACTTTTGGGGCGTAAGCAATCCTGCCTCAGCCTCCCAAGTAGCTGAGATTATAGGTGTGTGCCATGGCACCTGGTTTTGTGGTGCTGGGGATCCAGCCCAGAATCTTGTGCATACTAGGCAAGCACTTTACCACTGAATCATATCCTCAAATCTTAATCTACCACGGGCTCCCCACCCTCCACTTCCCCTACTGGGATTGAATCCCAGGGTGTTTTCTCTCTGAGCTACATCCCCAACCCTTTTAATTTTGAGATAGAGTCTTGCTAAGTTTTCAAGGCTGGCCTTAAACTTGTGATCCTCTTGCCTCGGCCTTTGAGTATCTGGGATTACAGACATGTGTTACCATGCTTGGCTTCCTTAGTAATTTTTAAGTATATAATTCAGTCATGTTAAGTACATTCACACTGTTGCACAACCAATTGCCAGAACTCTTTTTATCTTGTAAAACTGAAACCAAACCCATTATCCCTCCCCTCCCCTTTTCCCAGCCTTTGACAAACACCATTCTATGTTCTGTCTCTATGAAAGTGACCTCTCCAGGTACATTATATAAATGGAATCACAGTATTTTATTTTTTTGGTGACTGGCTTATTTTACTTAGTATATTGCTCTCAAGGTTCATCCATGAAGTAGTGTGTGTTAGAATTTCCTTCCCCTGGGCTGGGGATATAGCCCAGTTGGTAGAGTGCTTGCTTTGCATGCACAAGGCACTGAGTTAGATCCTTAACACCACATAAAAATAAATAAATAAAATAAAGATTTATTTAAAAAAATAAAAAAAATGAATAAAGAATTTCCTTTCCCCACCACTTTTTTTGTGGTCTTGGGATTAAATCCAGGGCCTTGAACATGTTAGGCAAGAATTCTACCACCTAGCTGCAGCCCTAGCTCTTTAAAAATTTCAAGACAGGGTCTCACTAAATTGCTTATGCCAGGCTTGAAATTTGTGATCCTACTGCTTTAGCCTCCTGAGTTGCTGAGATAACAGGCATGTGCCACCATGCCTGGCAACACTTTTTTGTGTATATGTGTGTGGAAGTGCTAGGGATCAAACTCAGGGGCTTGTGTGTGCTAGGCAAGTGCTTTACCACTGAGCTACCTATGCAGCCCAGAATTCCCTTCCTTTATATGACTGCATAATATTCATCACATATGTGTATATATCTATATCTATATTTATATAAAAATATTTTGTGTATTCTTTCATCTATCAATGGACACTTGGATTACTTCTACCTTTTCACTATCATGAACAATGGTGCTATGAACATGGTTATACAAATATTTGAGACCCTGCTTTCATATTTTTTGCCCAAACGTATATACACAAAGTAGAATTGCTGGATCATTTGGTAATACTATTTTTAGTTCCTAGACACCATTTTAGCCTCATAGGAAATACAACAGGCTCTGAGAAGTTTAAGGTTTTGGTGTGAACCAGGGTAACCCTGGTTTCTTGCTTCTAAGACAGGGTTTTTGTACCAAATAGGTTATGACTTATACCCCCAAAGAAATTACACAGTGGCTAAGAGAAATGATGCAAATTTGAGGGAAATTGGGTTAAGCATGTTTTGCTTTGTTCTTTTCTTGCATGTTCTCTTAACCAAATGAGTGCACAGGTAGGTGGCTTAAGCGGAAACAACAAACTGGCAGTCTGAGTGATTAATCTGGGCTGCAGATGTGCTTGATGTGGCATATAAAGGATTAAAAAAAAAAAACTTTACAAACTTAAAAATTGATGGCAACTTGTTATTACCCAAGAAAGTGAAATAAACTTCCATGCACTTTTTTACAAAGCAATTTTCCCCATAAGAAATGATGAAATATATAAATGGAGGAGGGATATCTAAAACCTGCCACATGACCAGTAAGAAATTACAACAATCAACAATTGTTTTCAATGACCTGCCAAGCACAAAATAAAAAACTACATAAGAATCAAACTTCCATGCATATTAGAAATGATTCGATTTACCGAGTCCCACACAATTCAAAATGGATAAAAATTTTATTAAGTAACTTAAAAACACTACCTATTAAACTCTTGCACTGTTTCTTTAAAAGTACTTATAAAATTATCAAACCTAAATGATTCTTTGTGGAAATAAGTAGTAAAAATTCAAAATCTAGAGATCCACATTAAGAATGAGATACTAGGGCTGGGGTTATGGCTCAGTGGTAGAGTGCTTGCCTAGCAGCACAAGGGACTGCGTTTGATCCCCAGCACCACAAAAAAACCAAATAAGCAAAAATAAAGGTATTGTGTCCATATACAACTAAAAAAAAGATATTAATAAAGAAAGTCAGTTTAGGCTGGGTGCAATGGCACTTGCCTATAATCCCAGTAATTCCTATAAAGAGTTTTATATTTTATTTATTTTCATGGTGCTGGGGATTGAACCTAGGGCTTTGTGTGTGAAAAGCACAAGCACTAAACTGAACTACATCCTCAGCCCTGGGTTTTGTAGTTTGTTGTACAATATTACAAAAAGAATTTGTCATATAAAAGTTCAGATTTCTATCTTCTTACTTACAATCGGTCAACAGTGGTCCTACCTTCCTGTCTGCTCACCAGTCCATAATCCTCACTACTTCCTATTACTCTCACTTACTTCTCTCAATCATATAACCTAGTTGCTCCTTTTGTAGTTTAAGACTCCTTGCTCAGAGTCTAGGATTAGTTGAATCTAGATAATGGGTTTGACTTCTAGTATGGCCAATTTTCCGGCACATAGCTGTTATTCAATAAATATTTGAGTGATCTGCAAGGCATGGCACAATCTGAGAGTCTTGGGAGGCTGAGGCAGGAGAATCATAAGTTCAAGGCCAGCTTCAGCAATTTAGTGTGAACCTGTTTCAAAATAAAAATTTTAAAAAGGTCTGGGGATGTAGCTTACTGGTAGAGCACCCTTGGGCTCAATCCCTAGTACTGAGAGAGAAAAAAAAAGTGCTCAAATGAACTAATGCATGACAACCAACTTTTACTGAGCACCTAATATGTGCAAAGTCTATGGCTGGATCCAAGTGTCACAGAGAAGAATGACCTCTGAAAATTCAATCTCCTAACTATGGGGGTAAGAGCACACATACCTATGGTCCAACTCTGACCACAAACTGATTTTGAGGGGGTGGTTAGGGTAGGAGTTTTAAGCTTTCAGACATAGAACTGTGTCTGGAAGAATGGGAGGCCACCTAGTTATATGAAAAGCCTCCCCTGCAGAAGCTACAGCAGATATGCATGCTGTGAGGTGGCTTTGTTTGGGAAACTTAAAGAAGGACATGGGCTGGGGGTATGTAGTTCAGTGGTACAGTGCTTGCCTAGCATGCTCAAGACCATTTGATCCCCAGCACTGAAACAAACAAACAAACAAACAAACAGAAACAACAACAAAACAACTCAGTGTGATGGGAGCTTAAGAGAGTAATAGATGACGTTAGACATGTATTTTTATATCAACAGCCTAACTCTTAAGCCAGGCAGCTGTTGGGCAAATCCGTGTCCTGGTCTTCAAAGAGCTTGCTCAAAACAGGAATGGTTTAGCACTGTCAGTCAGAGAAGAGACTGGGCTTAAACCCTTCTCTGCCTTGGGTGCCAAGGACAGGGTAGGGCACAGAGGAGATTTCAGTAAAGATCTGCTGACAGTGTGCTTGAGAAAAGAACAGGAAGTGCAGGCTTTGTTGAAGGAGGCCCAGATGAGGCTCTCTTTGGGGCACTGGTTCTCAAGTCGCTGCCACTTCTTTCAACTGACTTTGAGAGCTGGGAGAGCGAGATGCAGGGAGGAACCAGCCACAGGCCATACCCGCAAAAACCTCAAGGGGTGGGGGGTTTGAGAGGCAGGTAGGAAAACGGGTTATGAGAGCTAAGCGAGGGCATCCAACTTAACTTGGAGGGTTAGTTAGGGTGTGTTCAGAACGCTTTTAGCTCAGACTCAATATATGTGTAGGGGGATTTTACATACAGGGTCTGGATATTTCATTTTGCTTTCGTCATAATTTCCTCTGAAAGTAAATGCTCACTGGCCCTAATGGGCCTCCCTCAGGGCGGGTCCTCCCTTCACTCTCTAACCCTCTGCAAAGGGGCAGGGCCTCCCAGGAGCTTGTCCTGCCTACACTACCTAGATTTGCTCACCAGGGGCCGCTGCGCACGGACGACGGAGCGCGCGGGTTCCCAAGTCGCAGAGAGGCGGAAGCTGATTGGTTGTGAGGAGAGGCGGGAGGGCGGAGTCTGAAAGGCCGGTTGAGAGTGGGGGCCTGGTAGCGCGCCCCCCCCCCCCCCCGCCAAAGCCAGACGGTCTTTTTGTCGCCTCAGGCGGCTCCATGGGTGCTGTCGTTGTGTCGGGATTTCTGTCAGCCTGGCTCTAGAGCTGAGGCGAGTGGAGCAGCACCGCGGCCTGGAGATCAGGGCAGGGCAGCTACCGCCGCCGCCGCCGCAGGCCTGGGTTACCTGAGCAACTGCGTGTCAGGGGCGCGGGCGGTTAGCGCGGGAGACTATCCGGAGGAACTAGGGAGGCAGGGTCCTGACCTTTGGTTTGGGACCGGGGTCCTGGAGGAGACCAGCATAGGCTGGGGGGTCGGGAGACCCCATCGGGGACTGGGGGATCCGGGAAGCCTTTTCCAACAGGTTATTCCGGGATAAGCTCTGGCACTGGGGCGGGCCCGGGCTTCGCTGGGGGCCGGGCGGCGCGGGGCGGGCCTGCGGGAGAGCACGCCCCCGCCCGTCCCGGGCCCGCCCCGTGCCGCCCGCCGGCTGAGGAGCCGCTGTCCCGGGCCTGGCTGGTGTGCGTATGGCTGCTGGACCCGGGCACCGCCGCCTGCCTGGGCACGGGACTGGGCGGAGGCGCTGACCTCGGCCTAGGAGGTTTAGGATCCCGGAGACGCCGCTACCCGCTGGGGCCTGCGAGTCGCACGCCCTCCCCGAGCTTCTGCTCGCCGCTCCTTCGCGGGGCGAGGTCAGGTGTCCCCGTTCTCTTCTTTCCCTCCCCCACCTCGGTACCCGCGGGAGATCCTGCCCGCCCCCTTTCTCAAGGGTGTAGCAGGCTGCGGAGCTGACGGCAGCCCCGCAGCCACCCTTCCCAAACTCTCCGGAAACCGCCCGAGCTCAGGCCGCTGCAGCTCCGGCGGACCCACTGTTGGACCAGAGGCCCGGTCCTCCTCCCGCGCCCAAACTTGGAGCACTTGACCTTTGACTGTCGGAGGAGGCAGGCCCGCAGGTGGCTGGACAGCTGCGGCCCTGAGAGGGCATCTTGCCTGGGGACCGTCGGCTGCACTCCCGGACTCCGGGCTTTGCTTCTGGGATTGCAAGGTGTCCACTTAAGGCGCATGTGGATTGAGACCTAGAGTCATGGATGTTTGCGCTCGTCTTGCCCTGTGGCTCCTCTGGGGGCTTCTCCTGCATCAGGGCCAGAGCCTCAGTCATAGTCATAGCGAGAAGGCCACAGGAACCGGCTCAGGGGCCACTTCTGAGGAGTCCACTGCAGCAGGTAAGGCCTTGCTGCGGGCTGGACTGTGCTGTGGGCTTTAACTTAGAATTGAGTAGCCCAAAGTGGGTAAGTCAATGTAGGTTTGTACATGTGAGGTTGGTGGAGGATCCACACATTATTGTCTAGTTTCAGTTGTCCAAGAAGTTCTTTCTGTTAAGGGGTCATGGCTAATGTTACTATCTCCCTGAATAATTTTCCTCATCCCTCCTCAGGATGTCTTTTGTTGCAAGGAGAAAAAGACTTTGGGGCACTTTGACCTTTCAGATCAGGCTCCATCTTAAGACTACTTGTGTGGAAGGATGACCTACTCAGCTGCTTTTAGCCAGTTTCAGCACTTGATAGTAGAGGGGGGTTGAGACCACTCAGGCTGAGAGGGAAAATCAAGGCTGGGCCAGCTTGTTGTTGGATAGCCTGGTGTTCAGGTTTGTCTTTCTCTGTTCCAACCACCATGGGAACCCTAGTCCCTCCCTTCCTTTAAGTAATCTGTCTCTTAGCTGGGCCCAATTGACATATCAAGGCAAATCCTTAGATGGGATCTTATTTACCACTAGGGAGTAAAATGGCCTTTTTTGGGACATTAGCATAATATTATTTGTGGGATTACTTGTTAACTTACTTTGTTTCTTCTGACTGATGAGTATAGATATTCCGTGTTATTTTTTATCTGTCCTGATTTTTCCTGTGCACTTGTTGAACTTGTCACATAGCAGGAGTCCTGGTATACTTTTGCAATAGAAAGGAACACTTTTTAAATCCACTTATTTTACATAAAACTTTGAAGATTCGTTGCCTTTTCTCATTTCTCTTGCCTAGTGGCTCTGATCTGTGACCTGAAGGCAGGGTTCCCCTCAGGGGGTTGTTATACTGAATTTTTGAGTCTAGCAAACTCAAGTGAAGGGATGGCGGCTCAGTACCTGCTGATGCAAGTAGGAAAAGAAATACAGTGGTCGGAGACTTTCTTGGATGGATCCAGAACCTGGCATTAGTGGTAGGCCTTTTCTTGGGCACCCCCACCCCACCCTTAAGTTACTTGACTGGGCTCTGTGATTCCAGATTCCCCAAGGGCTGATTTCTCAATAAGGCCTGTGTTGTCTTGTATGCAAGCATGGCACTCTTAGCTGTTACTTTTTAAAGATAGGGGGTAGGTTCTTCTTTCAAATTAATTCTGTCTCTCTATAGGAAATTTCCTTGACTCCTGAAGCCTAGCCCTAAGCTTGGTTCTTACTGTGGTATGAAAGACATCTGAGGAACACCTCTGCTGTTCCCAATGATATCCCTGTTTATAATTAATATGTCCCATTTTTCCCACTTCAATATATGAAACTCTAACCATGAAATGAATATTTTTGAGAGGATTCTATTTTTTAGATTCATTTTTTTTTGGTGGGGTGAGGGATCAAACCCAGGGCCTCATGCATGCCAGGCAAGTACTGTACCATTGATCTACATTCCCAGCCCCCCAGCCCCTAAAAGGAATGTTTTGAGTTTTAGGCATTAGCTAGCTCTCAAGAATCTCCTCTCCTACCCCAAGGTAAGAGGCATTCCAGCATCCCTCAGTATCACTCCATGACTTAAACTTATGGAGATAGCCCTCCATATAACATATTAAAGAGGCCTATACTGAGTCCTCATTTTTGGTCTTTTCTTATTGATTTTGTCCTTTTCTTTCTCAGTCCAGAAATTGGTTTCTCTTGCCACAATAGTAATGAATTCTAGGGAGGAATGTCTCAGAGAGACATCCTAGGTGCTGGAATGACTGGTTTGTGGGAACCTGGATGTCCCATTTTTCTAGTAGGTTGTCCCATTAGGTCTTTCTGGGACTTTGTCTCTGACTCAGACAGAGAAGAGGTGGTTCATAGATTGGGTTCTGCAAAAGGGTTTGGGGAGAAATTTTCTATGCAACTAGGAACCTTTCCAACCCCTGTGTATCCTCACAACACAGGAGGAGTATTTATCTATCTATCTATCTATCTATCTATCCATTTATTTATTTATTTAAAGTTGTTGATGGACCTTTATTTTATTCATACCTTTATTTTATTTATTTGTATGTGGTGCTGAGAATCTAACCCAGTGCCTCATGCATGCTAGGCAAGCGCTGTACCACTGAGCCACAACCCCAGCCCCAGGAGGAGTTTTACTTGCTCTTAAAGCTACCACTTTTCTAAGTCAGATTCAACATTCCTAGTAAATTTGTGTTCTCTTCAGTTTGTATTTTATAGTTACACAGTTATTTTTCCTATAAAGTCTCATAGTATCCCTTTTGGAATCAAGGGTAGAATTATTAATACATCCTTATTTGCATGGGTGAAGAAACTGGGTCCTGTGCTTGGTGTTGTAGGCAGTCTTCTGATGTTTAAGTGCTGGACTTTTTCCATCTTCTCAGAAGTGCTAGGTGGGACCAGAGACTCTTGTTCTTTGGCAATTAGGCAGGCCCTGGTGACTTCATAGCTTAGATCTTTGGAGAGTGTGTTGCAGGTACTCAGAAAATTCAGTTTTGGATAAAAGTACCTGTCTCTTAGTTAGGTGTAAGATTTGATTCTAAGAAGGATTTAGTTAAAAATGCTTTGTCTTTCCGATGCATACACTAAGTATTATTAAATGCCTGACCCTGCAGTGAAGGCAGATGCTCTGATAGGAGGCTTTCTTAATGAGCAGTGTAGAGGTCTTTTCTGTCACTTTCTGACTTTTTAATAGCTTCATGCCCAGCTGTTTTAAGTTACTTTCTCAGTAAAGGTCTGTGCCTGGCTGTGTTGCTACGGGGCCTGCATTTCTGAAGTTGGCCTGATGGATAATGGAACTTTGCTTAGGCTTCAGAAACTCAAAAATGTTTTCTGTAGAGTATGTACAAGGTAGTCTGTAGTTGGGGCTGCCAATGTTGAAGTATTGAGGGTCTCTAATCAAGAATTGTGATTTGGTTATATATAGCTAAAATAGGGCCTTGGAGGATAGGCATCTTAAACAATATAAAGAGTGCTGGCTGGCTTCTCAATCAATCCCTAATAGTGTGGCAGACCAGAGCCCTGCCTGCCCACCCAGCTAGTTGCTGCTGCCTCCAAGGCTATAAATGGCCTGGCCATCTTGGTAGCTATGCTAATTTTAGCTGAGGGTGGCTCCCGGAACTGGGCTGAGGCCAAGAGCAGGTGGGTGGGGCTTGGCTGAAGATAATACGGGGGGTTGGGTAGAGGGACACACTAATCCTGAGGCAGCCAGGACATCATCTGCTTCCAGGCCTCAGCTTTGACAATCACCTTTAGCTAGGTTAATTGATTCAGCAAACACTGAACAGTGCCAGCTCATGTGCTGTTTATTCAACAGGTATTTGAGTGCCTGTCCGGACCAGTTACTTTGTATGTTTTCTATGGGGATTTAAGAATGAACAATACAGTCATCTTCCCTACTTTGTGGAAGTTAGTCTTGTTGGGGAGATGGAAAATAAACACAAAAATAAATATATTATTGTGGTAAGCGACACAGAAGAGAACATAAACAGGGTGCTCAGGGGAATGAGAAGAGAACAGAAATTTAGTTAAAACTGAAACCCAGTGTCTAGTAGGAAAGTTAATACAGTAACATCAATAATAATAATAATAATAATAATAATAATAATATTTATGTGGCAGACACAATTATAAACATTTTATTTTGCTTAATTCCTACAATCATCCTGTGGAATAGATATTATTATCCTTATTTTGTAGGTGAGGAAATTAAATCATAGGTTAATAACTTGCCCAAGGTTATACAGATAGTAAAAAGAACCAGAGTTAGAATCCAGGTAGTTCTTCACCTTACCTCTACCTCAGCCACTAAGCTTTACATCTCTCAAAGCTTTGTGATATCCAGGCATGGTGGTACAAGTCTGTAATCCCAGTAATTTGGGAGGCAGAGGCAGGAGGATTGCAAATTCAAAGCCAGCCTCAGCAATTTAGTGAGCCCCTAAGCAACTTAGTGAGATCCTGTCTCAAATTATAAAATAAAAATGGCTGGGTATGTGGCTCAGTGGTAAAGTGTCCCTGGGTTCAATCCCTAGTACCAAAGCAAAGTGAAGAAAACCAAACAAAAGAAAACCCAAAATAAACAACAACAAAAACCACCACCAACAATAATGACAACAATAAAAAAACAACTTAATCATAAATGCTTAATGGAAGTATTTGTGTGTGTGTGTAGACACACGTGTTATGTATACGTATATGTTATATGTAGATATATCTATACACACATATATATGCATACACATACGTGGCTGTTAGAAGCCCAGAGGAGCAAGTGACTAGCCTGCCTGGGAGAGCTGGGGGAGGTTTTACAGTTTCCCCCATAATTTTTTTCAGATCTTGGGGAGATGAAAAGTGGCTGCCTAATTCACAAGAGATGGAAAAATCAGTTAGTTCAGCCCACTTGTTTTTCCATGTGAAGAACGTGGAACCCAGAGATGCATTAAATAATAGTTTTAGAAGTTTCAACTAAGTTATGGTAGAATACTAGAGTAGGATTTGTGAGTCGGGGACCCACATGTTTGAGGCCAGCCTTAGCAGTTTAGTGAGCCCTAAGCAACTTAGGGAGATCCTATATCAGAATAAAAAGTTCTGGGCTGGAGTTATGGCTCAGTGTAGAGAACTTTTCTAGCATGCATGAGACACTGGGTTCGATCCGTGGCACAACATAAAAATAAATAAGGTATTGTGTCCATCTACAACTAAAAATTAAAAAAAAAAAATCAGCAAATGAAGTAAGGGGAAAAAAAAAAAGGTCTGGGGATGTGGCTTAGTGATTTAGGCACAGGGTTCAATCCCTAGTGCCCAAAACCAAAACAACAATGTAGCAATCAGATTATTTCACCTTAAAAAGCCCAGTTTTGATACAGGTCATAAGACTTGTTTGGCAAGAAAGGGATGAGTTCTTATTGAGGGGAGTGGTTGCCTAGGTCTCCACAGGACTTGGGTTCCAGTCCCAAGAGTCCCTTTTGGTTTCCTCCAGGGCTGCCTTTTGAGAAACAT